ATATGAATTGATAATTCTGATTTTAATTGGTCAGGTGGCAGGGCTTTTTTTACTTTTAAAATTTTTCATTTTTGTTATTTATGTATACTACTGCTGCTACTGATGTTATTAACAGACTATTCCTGGGGTGTAACAAATTTTATATTGGTATAGTACTGTTCTGCAAATGTGGTTGAAAGAACCAAATGATTACAAGCATTAGTTGTACAAGATTAGCTATCTAAACTCTAGATTATAGAAGTTAGACAGGAACCATGTAACCGGCCTTCTTTGTTGTGGCCTTCTGTATTGTGTTGCTTCTTTTAAACTCCTGGTTATGGGGATTAAAGGACGTCGCACCAGGGACGCCTCACATTTCATATCGGAGTCTCCCTCTGTGACTGTGTATGAGCATTTTCAAGGTCAGCAGCAACCTGCAACATTTATGCAATCCGGAAGGATTTTGCAAATTTCTGGAGGTTACATAATTCGTTTACAATAAGGCGGAAGGAGACAACCCCTATCAATTGATATGTCACATGGGACAGTTTGCATTTTTTTAGTTTTCTAACTTGGCTCTCACAAGAGAAATCTATGTTTGGCTTATAGTAAATAATTTGTGCATCAATTACCAACTTAAGTATGTGGTCAAGAAAAATAATCGCAGCAGTAGAGTCATTCGTAATACATTGTATAAGGAAAAATTATTTGTTCTAATATGCTCCCTAACCACAGTCTGTATGAAATAGGAAATCCTTACTGCCCACTTTACGTTAAGAGTAACCGTGTGAGAACAAAGAGAGAGAAAAAAAACAGAATCATCTGATCTTGCATAATGGTTGTATGGTAGTAGTACATACAATGCCTTGCACACATAATTACACAATAACTTATCGAACTTCTATTTGTTTTTAAAATATTCACTGTGAGAGTGGTGCGACACTGCCACGAACGTGGACATACGGTGTCCGCTGCCGAGTCTCTCACGTTCCTCGACCAATTAACTGTTTCAAATATTCATAAAACGAACAAAATGCCGCACATCGCCTTGAACTTTTCGCAAGTGGAAGTTATAATACTTAATATTGTAGTTTTCTTATGTTGCTTATGAAAAAAATATTTTAAATTAAATGAAAGCTTTTAAAATATTTAAGCATTTGTGACTCGGCAATCATTACATTACTGAAAGCAAAAAACAATGACACTTGTTTACCATATTTAGTGGAGTATTAACCGTTTCTTTTCATTGCATCATCGTTTCTTGGTATGCTTACGTACAATCTAGTCACCCTTAGGGGTTAATTTCAGAATCATAGTGTGAGTTCTCTCGCTCGATAGCCTGATTGCGGCTATCGTGCGGAGCGAGAGTGCGTGGAACTCTGCCGTCTCCTTCTGCGAGCAAGTTATGCTCGCGAAGGAGACGGCGGAGCGGGACCGGGAGAGGTTTAGGACTCTCCCGGCATGCCAGGCCCGGGAACGGGCCAGGTACCGCAGGCGACTCAGGCGCCGGAGGTCGCAGAACGACCTCCGTCCTCCATAAGCGCAGGCGAGGCCATCTGTCACCCTAGCAGAAGCAGGCCGGGTGGCGGCGAGCGCGTTGCGAAGCGCGCTCGCTTCCAGGGAGCACAGGGAACATGGGGTTCCCACACGGGGGGGGATCGTCTACTCGTCTGTAGATGACCCGAGGTATGTCGGGGCACCAGGGACTTCCTTTCTAGGGTAGACCTGGTTCGCCGGCTATTAGTACGAGACGGCGTGCGGTTTTAGTCGGTTCGAGTCCGACATGCCACCGACAGGTGGTATCCGATGGGATTTCCGCAAGGAAAAAAAAAAAAAAAGGGGGTTAATTTCAGAGGTGTAATAAGAGCTTATAATATATTCTAATAGACGGGAGTTTACAAAAAACTTCAAAGTAACAGATGTTTTCTTTTATTTGCAGCAAAAAATATAAATGGCTTGACCGGAACTCAAAAGGCATTTTCTTTTTAATATTGATGATTAGTGATCCCGATGGCTGAGTCAGAAGTTGTGGGTTAGATTCTTACCCAAAACAAATAATTGTCTAATAGGTACTTTAATTAAACATACCATAGAATATAAGTCGCACGACTATAAAAAGCCAGTCGATGTTCCTGGCCTACTAGCCTCTCCAATCGTTTTTAATTATTTTGCCTGTCCTGTAAATGCTATAAAAAAAAAAAAAACACTTGCCCCGCTTCCCTTAAAAATTTAAGTCTAAACAAGTTAAAAATTATATTTGCAGTACATTATCGAGAGCCGGTTATTGATTCAGTTTAATAATAATTAACTTGTCATAGTTTTCTTTTACTTACATACTAATTAGAAATAATTCTAGTTTTTCATCATCATCGTCAGCCTATCGCAGTCAACTGCTGGACATAGGCCTCTCCCATTGCATGCCACTTAGATCGATTTTGGGCTTCTCGCATCCAGCTCCTGCCAGCCATCTTGCGCAAATCGTCACTCCACCTGGCCTGGGGGCGTCCTACACTACGTTTGCCGAGACGCGGTCTCCACTCAAGAACTCGTTTTCCCCAACGGTTGTCGATTCTCTGGCTAAAATGGCCAGCCCACTGCCACTTCAGCTTGTTAATCCGGTAGGCTATGTCGGCGACCTTGGTTCTCTGCCGGAGAAATGAGGTCTCATTTCTGATGCGATCCCTTTGAGAAACGCCGAGCCATATAGCCCTTTCCATATATATAACCATATAGCCCTTTCCATATATATAACCATATAGCCCTTTCCATAGCATGTTAAGCTACTTTGAACTTGTGGACCAGCCATACGTAGCTCCCCAAACGCTGCCATACCTGACCGAATTCTTCTGTTCACCTCGACCTCAAAGTGCAATGTCTGCCCGAGGTACACATAATTTTGAACAACTTCGAGAACGGCACCGTGTACAGCAATCGGTTCCGGTAGTACATGTTCATTGAACATGACCTGGTTTTATCCAAGTTCATCCATAGGCCGATGCGTACAGGAGAGTCAGTTAGGTCATTCAGGATCTGTTGTAGGTCCAGCATCTTCTCTGAAATGGGTCGATGGTTCTTCAACATAGTCTAGTCAGACTTTTTTAAGAACAGGACGACCACACTCTCACTTCACGCCTCCGGAGTTCTCCCTTCAAAGGAGGGAGAACTCCGGAGGCGGGAGAAATTCCCTTCAAAGGAGAGCTCCCTCAGTATGGGTTAACCTCCGGCCTGTAGCGGCTCTGTTGTCATCCTCTCTAGGGGCTTTTCCATTTTTCAGCTGTTTAAGAACCATCTCGATTTCGTCAGTGCTGACTTCTGGCAGGTCTTCGGTGTAGTAACTGTTAATGTGGCTCTGGAGTCCTCATTTTCGGGATCAGGTCGAGATGCATGCAAAGCGTATAACCGGCCATAGAAGCGTTCTACTTCCGAAAGGACTGCCGGCTTCGAAGCAACGACTTCTGTACTTGATGTGGTGAGCTTCGTCAGGTGGCTTCTTCCAAGAGATTGTACGAACACGTCACTCCTGATTGCTCGATCGCTTTTTCAATTGAAAGGGTATTGGAGCACCGGAGGTCGTGTCGTACGAGCTTACAGATCTCTTGGTTTAGAGTCCGCTATGCCGACAAAGTGACAGGTGGGTTTTCACGTCGTTTCTTATTAGCCCTAGGGTCTTTTCTGAAAGCTTTGACTTCCTGCCCTTATGCTGCATTTCACAAAATCTCGTACCTTCTTCCCTGAGCATCCGAGCCACATTTTTGAGGTTCTGGTTTACGTTCAGATCCTGTCATGGCTTGGAGCAGAGTTGGCCGGAGCCTGGATTTCATCAAACAAACACGTTTAGCCTTAAAGTTGATATTCAGAGAGCCTCGGACAAGTCGGTGATCACTACCGGTATTAAACCTATTGATTACTGAGACGTCTCTGAATATGTGCTTCCTATCGCCTAGGTACGCTATAGGTACGCCTATTGGGATGGATATACCGCTATCGGTAGGTTGCCAGAGCCTCGTTCGGTGTTCAGCAGGATGCACCGCAGGCAGCTGAGGTCGGAGCGAAAGATGGTGGTTCGCCTCCTTACACTCTATCTTTTTGATTAACTATTATTTTTTACTACTAATTTACTACTACTATTTTTTTACTACAAAATTAGTCATTAATTCTATGGATCTCTGAAGCTTTCATAGATGCCAAACTTTATACTCTCCAACCGTTTGGGAAAATAGGTGGAAACCTTTTTCTCCCCACTTTTGTAACAGTTTTGACTTCTGGCATTTACGGGCTATTAGGCAACCATTTCGCACCAATTTTGACAGTTTAGCTTTCGGACCTTTTAGCAAACAATGAGAAATTGTTACATACCGCAGTGCCATTAATGCGTTTAAATTCTATGGTACGTTAATTTCTACACAAATTACTCATATTTCAAATTTGACTAAAAATTATTTATGGAATAGGCGAAAAATAGTTTACCAACAATTTGAGTAGGCTTACGCGTACTACCTTTTGTGGTAGACGGACAGAAATTGTTAGATTGTGTCGCCCTGTCGGCAATCTACTTGAAACAAACATGAAGGTAAATCACGTTACAAGATTGAAGTTAAATTATATTGTTCTTGATTAGATTAAACACTTTGAATGGCTTAAGTAGCTAGAGTAAGTATTTGTTTATGCATCCTGGTTTACTGGCCCATGTCAATTTTGCAGTCTAGTTACAAACAGTGTAGTTACTACTAATATATGATTATTTTATAATACTTGGTTTATATATTGGCAAGTGTATACTAGAACGTACCAGACGTACGGTACCAGAAAACGGGCAGCGTTGCCAGACATCGTGGCTCAGGACCAGTTCGGATCACAACAGCTCAAGAAGACCAATATATCCGTTTAACCGCACCATGAAGACCAGCAATACTCACGTAGACGTTAAGTACCTATTCATATTTCATTAACTGTGGCACATCGTGCATATCGTTTAATGTTTGCTAAGTAACACCAGAATTGTAGTCTTCAGGTCTTTACAGATGAGTGCACGATTAAGTTTTCGTGACGTTCGACGTGAAAGAGTGGAGGAGATCTGGAGAAAGAATTTCAGATTCATGCATACACGAAACGGACCGTTTTGGTGCACCCAGTGTAGTGGTCCAGTGGAGGATAACGCCTATAACGGTAAACTGAGCTCGTAATTCTTAACAAGGGTACTGTATCGGCCCTAAGTTATGTGATCAATGCGGTACAACCACAATGTTCACATTAGCTGAAGCTTAAATTCAAGTGTTACAAATTGAGCCCAATAAAAAAAGCAGACAAAGCGACATCCCCGTAAACTCGCCGCAGGATCTCATAAATACTTTGAAAACGTGTTGGCAAAAGATTCCAAAAGATAACGTCCGCCATTTAATTGAGAGCATACCCTCAATGAGAAAGGAATGCGTTAAAAAAGAGGAGGTCTTACCTAATATTAAACAAAAAAGATTTGGCTTCAACTCGTTACTTAAGAAAATGTACCCGTTTTTTTCATAGAGGTATTTTGCCATAAGTGGTCATAAAATTTTGAAATTCAGTGCATTAATTAAATTATTGCCCAATAAATAATATTTCAAATTAATTTATCTTAAAATAATTTATTTTAAAAGGTTTTAATCACAACTACTAAAAACTAGGCTGGTTTTTAAAAAAGTCTCAAAATTCTAGTGGCCCTCATTTTGTTATTACAATTGCAAGTTCGTCACAGATCATATGTTATTGTATTTAGGGGTTGAATTTATGCAAATAGAGGTGTAACTACACATGAATAGTAAGTTAATTACAAAATAAAACAAGATTTAATACTAAATAGTTGCATATAAAAACGATTTTGAAGTGCCTAAATTGTAATAGCATTTTTCATCGCTTAATTTTCCAAGTAGCATTTATCTTTATTACAATTGCCTAACTATAAGTTCATACTTGATGAGTTCTTGTGGTCACCTTAGGCATAGCCACAAGTGAATTTGTTTAGCAACTATACCAAAGCTATCGAAAAGAAGTAATGATAAGTGTCTTCATCATCGGTTCTACTTCACCAAATAGGGTTTTTCGACAGCAACTACAGCACTTCCTATAAAATATCCAAATAGCTATAGGTGTGATCTAACCAAGAGATCTGACATATAACCGTATATTGCCATACTCTGAACCCAGCAAATGCAGTTTAGACTTGGAAACTTTCCAGACTTCATATTCTGGTCCTGAAGGCAGTCCTCTTGATATAAATTATACATGTTTAGGCAAAATAAATATCTTAGAGCATAGGGTTCGAATTAAACCACCAGAACTTTTATGATGTATATAGGCATATCATAAGCATCGATCATTCGGTTTTGTACTAACTACTTACCAGTACCATATTGAAATGTCAAGGTACAGTACTGCTAAACAAGTGCTAGCAAATAACCCGCAAAATTTGTGAAAGCTATTAAGCTTTTGGTTATCAGCTACGACGGTAGGTAGGGCTAGTTTGTTGCTTTATCCGAAAATGTCAGGCGTGGTTCATGACGTCATCAGGCCGTGAAAATGGCGCGACATTTCGCGGTGCGCCCGCCACGCCCTGCCCACCCTAATCTCTTGTCATAGCAGGGTTGTCCGAGCGAATCATTCCCCAAGGTTCTAATTGACTACTGGTTTTAGCTAGTAATGTTGTAGTATATATACTATACCACAGATTAATCATAAACATTATAAAATCATAGTACATAGCGCGCAAGGTAAAGATTTTTAGATTACTAGCTGACCCGGCAAAACTTGTTTTGCCATATAAATTATTTCTAGTAAATATTTTGGTAGTAAAATAAACAATTACAAACTTATGTTAGCGCTGTCGCCGATATCGGCCTATAACAAATCACTAACCACTCATTTTCTTAATTCAATGTACTTTATTTGCTTAACTGACATATTTACAATGAAAATAAAAGTAAATATAGGGAGGGCCACCCTTACCAACTTTTTTTTTTCTCCCGTGTGGAAATCCCCTCGGATACCACCTATCGGTGGCATGTCGGACTCGAACCGACTAAAACCGCACGCCGTCTCGGGTAGTAATAGCCGGGGAACCAGGTATACCCTAGATAGGAAGTCCCTGGTGCCACCCTTACCACCTAGGGATATAAAAAATAGCTTACGACCTATTCTCAGACCTACCAAATGTACATAAAAAAATCATAAAAGTCGGTCAAGCCGTTTCGGAGAAGTTCGATAACAAACACTGTCACACGAGATTTTGATATTAGATTATAAGAGTAAAACAGCATACCATCCATCCATACCAGAAACACTCGTGGATGACGAAACTTTTTAACAGATAAAACTAGACCAAAATAATACTAGTAGCAGTAGTTTATATTTTTCTTAAAAATGACAACTCCCGCTTTAGGAATATATCCTGTGTTTCGGGGGACTACAAACATACATAAACGGACACAGAACGTCGTCCTCCATGCGGGTCGTCCCATGTGGGGTTTGAACCCACAACACTCGGCGTAGTAGGAAGCGGCGTGGCGACCGCTTAAACCACTACGCCATCCGTACAGTCCTTTCCTATGAAACTTACTAAATCGTATCTTAAAAATTTACGTTGGTAAATCATTGAGTAGGTACGATAGTGACAAATTGTGCCAATTACTTTGAGACTTCTCCACGGAACTAAGCACCCTAGGAATTGGATTACAAGGACTTTAATTGTGTATGCAGAGTTTAAGATACCTGTTATGGTCGTTACATGGCAATTTTTATTTCGTACCGTCTACACTGAACTTTCTTTCATGTGTAATGGGACACATCTGCTTGACTTGTGTTGATAGGTCCAACCTAATGTATGTTATAATTGTTTGTTTTTCCACCTTATATGCCTTTGGACATTGTTTTTTCGGTTAAGCTTTGACTTAACCGAAAAAAACAATGTCCAAAGGCATTCTACAATAATTGATATTGTGTCATTGGCTTAATAATTAAGCTGTAGATAGCTTGTCAGGGTTTGTTCTCCAACAGACATGATCTCACGTGTAATAAAGCTTCTAAAATTTTTAGTGAATAAGACTGCATTGATTAATAAAATTGAATATATTTATTTGATAACTGTCTTCTACAAACTATCTAATTAAGATGAACCTATCTGTGGGTACAGCGGTGTGCAAACGTTTTAACCAATCAAGAAGTCATCTATAAGGACAACCACTGACAACTGAAAACTTTGAAATTTGAAACATCTCACATGTAGGTTTTAGAATTGTTGTTCTGTGTTGCTCAGAAAGCAGAAAGTGAAAATTTTATAATTGAATCACAAATATATATAGAATAAGAAAAACTTTATTTGTCTTTCACATCGCATACTTAATAAAAGTACTTAAATAATAATACTTGAAAGACAAAATGGACAAAATAGCGATGTATGTCACTATTTATTTAGCTTTAAGTTTTCCATGTATTGTATAAATAAATAAAACTAAGAGATAATTATTTTACTAGCATTTTATTTGGTATACCTAAAACACACTTTATTTTGTACACCATTCTTATAGTAGAATATTTGTAAAGCATACTACATAATTTTGTCAAATAGATAGTGTACAAAGCCAGAGCCTTAATGCTCCTAAGCAAGATTGCACTTATACAATCTCTTACAGGCAACCTTGTCAGATATGTATCAGAATGGTTCGTGAAGTGTAAGAAAGCTCTTAAATTAATGATAATATTTCATAACCTCTGCGTCATACTTAGTATTCACACGCTACTAGTATGTACTTTTATTAAATTACTAACTTTAATAACGTTTATTCGTACCAAGTAAAATCTCTTAACCGCTTATGTAACTTAAACGTAACGTCGTTACTTTATGTTAAATTAAGAAAATGATATTATACAATCAAAACTTCTATATTCTTAGCTCTTAGCGTTAAAGCCCATACGAAAAAATGTGCGGAGGTTGCTGCGGTGGTTGTTGCGGGGGTTGCTGCTGCCCTTGTATAACAATATATACGTGTTGCACGAAGATTTGCTGCGGCGCCACTGCTCCATCTGTAGCAGAATACCAGTGCTTCATCTGCGCAGATTTATGCATTAGCGCAAATCTCTTATTTTTAGTGCCGTCTTGTAGACTAATGTACTATTAAAGAGATACAGCGCGTTTTTTTGAAATAAAAATTTTATTGAAAAAAACGCGCTGTAACTCTTGTATTGGAGTGTATTGGAGTTTTCGGAAACTTTACTTAACAATGTATACGACGCTAACCGCTATCAATTATTTCTAAGTGCAGCAGTTAAATGTTTATGTTCGAGAGTTTGTGTTATAATAAAGTATTTATTTTTAACCTTTTGCTTTATAATCGATTTAACTGATGTGTTGTGAATATGTAAGATGCTTTTAAACTAAACTTAATGTATATAACTATCTCATAGTAAGGGGAAAGAAATGCCTCGGATTCATGGTAAAAGTTCCTCATGTTTTTCCTTCGGTCGTGTTTCTTTCCCACCAACCTCAGGCCTGAGCTCGTAAACGCCATAGATCGTTTAGGACTTAGACGATAGATAGATATTAGTCACTAGCTGACCCGCGCAACTTAGTCTGCGTCTCTCAATAGTAATAAATTTTCTCCGTTTTTGAAACATTCTTCATTGGTGCTCCGCTCCTATTAGTCTTAGCGTGATGATATATAGCCTATAGCCTTCCTTGATAAATGGGCTATCTAACACTGAAAGAATTTTTCAAATCGGACGAGTAGTTCCTGAGATTAGCGCGTTCAAACAAACAAACTAACAAACAAACTCTTCAGCTTTATAATATTAGTATAGATGTGCCCTTGTTATACCTAGGCAAATTTAGCCCATGTATAAAACTCGACAGATTGCCATGTCGATTGCCTTCGTCAAATGTGCGATGTCACACTATACTAGTATAGTGTGACATCACTAGCACCAAGGTAGTACCGGCTCCTTACCGGCAATACAGTCGATTGGCTTCGGTGATCGTTTTTAATCCCGAAGCTGTGCTGCTTTTCTGTCACATCACGGGTATTTAATTAAATAAACAGAAAAATAATTGAAAAATAAACGATAGAAGGCTGCCAACAAAATGCGTAAGTTTTGAATTATGCGTACCTAAATTCTCTGTCTTTATTTCTAAATATATTTAG